AAAGAAAGAAAGAAAGAAAGAAAGAAAGAAAGAAAGAAAGAAAGAAAGAAAGAAAGAAAGAAAGAAAGAAAGAAAATAGAAAGTTAAAGACCAGGCTGAGGAAGCAAAAGTCCTGACCTTTCAGGAAATAGTATTAATGCAAGAAATAAAAGAGTATTAAATGAAAATTTCAGTTATTATCCTCAGTTAAGTTTGAGAAGATAGAACATCCATACAGTTAGTTAAGCTACAATTGAAAGGAGCCTGCAGAAATTCTGGGGAAAGCATATGTGTGTAACATAAAATGCAAAACTATGGTTTAAAAACTCAGAATGTACAAAGCTGAAATTGGCAAATTAAAACCCAGTCATGGGATTCTGACAACATAGGGGAAGAAAAGAAAGAAATAGGTACTATAATGAAAGAAATAATCAAGAAAAACTAAACAAAATGCAAGAGAAAAAATCCCTATGCTGCAAAAAGATTTGATAGCTCAAATTACAATGTCTTGAGCAATAAACCTCTCTCTCTCTCTCTCTCTCTCTCCTCTCTCCTCTCTCTTTCTTATACACACACACCTTTCTAAAGTGCTCAATAAAATTTAGACATAGCCACTAAACAATCTGTCAGTTACACATGAAAGAAAAATAATAGCAGTTTTCATCTAAGAAAGTATTCTGAAAATATATCATCTCTATATTCCAAAAAATATAATTCTCCAAATTATAAACTAGCAACAAAAATAATTTGAAGACATAAGTGAATGCAAATATATCCCATCCAAAACAATCTATAGGTTCGATATTGCGTCCAAATCCTGATGGAATTTTCTGTAGAAATGAAAATAAATAAATAAATAAACCCTCCATAAAAGTATGAAACACAAAAGACCATGAATAGTCAAATCAATCTCAAAAGTAAATAAAAAACTTAGGGGGGCCAGGGAGATAGCTCAGTAGAATAAGTGCTTGCCTGGCAAGTGCAAGGACCTGAGTTCAATCCCTAGTCCTGCAAAAACAAACAAACAAACAAACAAAAACTTGGTGATATAAGACTTCTAGAATTCAAAACATATTCTGAAGCTACCATAATCCAGACATTACGTCTTGGGCACAAAGCCTGACATGTGTACTGATGGAAAAGCAGAGGGCAGTGCAGGAATAAATTGATGCTTCTACAATTAGCCAACCCCTGACCCAAAATCAAAGGGTGATCTCCAGCATATGGTACTAAGAAAATTATACACATACAAGGAATAAACTTGAACCTTTGTCAAATCCCACACATAAAAATCACCTGCAGTGAAAGACTTAAAGATCTTAAAGACTTAAGATCTAAAGCTGTAAAACTAGAAGAAAATTTAGAAGAAAACCTTCATGACAGTATTTTTTGGTAGTGTTTTCTTGAACATGACACCAAAATCTCACGTAACAAAAACACTATACGTAAGTGGAACTACATCAATGTAAAAACCTTAAAATTCAAGAAGAAATATAGCCAGGAGAGCTATGAAAAGCTGCAAAAATTCTCTGAAAAAAATTATTTTAAAAAATGGGTTTCTTTTTTAATCAGCAAATGTATAAACTTTGATAGTATTTGTGTACATGGAAATGCATTAAAATGGGCTCCTTTACTACCATAATTTCTCAGCACTTACAAAATTATAAAATGTTCAGAACTTACGATCCAATGTGTTAGATACTATGCTGTATAAGTGTGCCAAACTTACCTACAAGGACGCTCACTGATGACGCTGGTTGCTAGGACAAAAGTTAAATATAATCTAACTATCCATATGCAGAAAATTGCTAAATACATGGTGGTCCTTCATGCTGACAAACAGTAGAATTCCAAGACTATTACAAAATATGAGGAAGAGACAGGCACAAGCCCAACACATACTGTTAGATAAAAACAATTTGCAGAGTAACAAGCACATTAATTCCATTAAAATTTTGAATTTCTATTTGTGTTTTGTAGAATGACTCCTATAAAACTGCTTAAGATCAGCACCTGAGGGAGCACACTTAGGACTGGGGATGCATGGTTTTCTCTGATTGGATGACTACACTTGTGCTTTGGAGGCCCCTCTGCATAGTCATGCGCACACATACTTGTGTATGTGCACACACATACCCCCCCCCACACACAAGTACACAAGCACAGTAAAAAAGACTTCCTGGTTCTGAGTAAAGGATCTTCCACCAGCTGATCCCCACATCTGTTCCCTTTCTCATTTCACCTCTTAAAAATCTGAACCCAGTGCCACATGCTGAGCTTCTGTTATCAAACTAAATCCCCCAGGTCTGTTGCATGATCCTTGGGGCTCCTGGCCCCATCTGACCAGAACCAACAAGCACAGTGGGTCTGTCATCACCCTTACTTTGGAAAGACTTCAACAAATGCATCAAAAGTCGTAGTGAGCTCTTGTGAGAACCAAGAGTTGTCATCTAAAAATAGAAGTGTGGAGCATAAGATTCATGAAAACTCATGTACAATGTTCATTATTTTTATACAAATCTAAATCTGTTCTGAAAAATAAAGGTCATAAAATAAAATGAACTAAAATAAAATGACATGATACAAATATAAAATGTAATTTGAGGTTATATTTCCCCCCAAAGGAAGTTGCTTTCACAATTTGCTTTCTGGGGATTTAGCAATTCATTTATATGCACTTATTTCATAAGTCATGTTATATTGTATTGGCAATTGTTTATGCCTTCCTTCTGGAAGCTTCCCTGAAATCACTAAAAAGCTGTGACAACACTGATTTAACAATAAATGTAATTTTAAAAACTTTCATAAATATTCAGCAAAACAAATAGTACCTTCTCTAAAAGTAAAAATAAATGGCCAAAATAAAACTTTAACTTACTTCTCTTTATGGATTTTACATTCTAGTGATACATTAAACTTACATCAATTTAAATTTGAATTATTTCTTAAACATAGTATTTCCAGCACAAGTTAAAATATAAAGGAATTCATGAAAACAGCAGCCTTTCCTTAAAACATGTAAATTTGATTCCTATTTCCTTTCTTTATCGTAATGGCTAATTAGGATTAATGCATGTATATTTTGAAAAAGTCATATTTCATTAAGTTGTCTAATAATCAATGTAGTATGCTGTTAATACAATGGAGATTCAGTTACCTTAGGTAAGTGTTTGTAGATAAGGCACATAGAACATCACGAAGAGTCTGTGAAAGGAGTATTTTTTCATGTTAAAGTGAGTTTTCAGGAATAGTGAAGTCTTAGCTTTGTCAAAAGCAAACTGCTTTTTTAAAAGATAGTTTTATTTTGAACAGTTTCTTCCCAATTCACAATATCTATTGTACATTACAAATCTTATTTACTTGTTTATTTTTTCACACTAATTAGACAACATAATGTTTACACATATAGATCTGATTTACCTCACTTATGAATATGGCCTCCAGTTGCATCCATTTGCCTATAAAAGATTCCACTTTATCTTTTTATGGCTCAATAGTATTCCATTATTACTATAATTATTAAGGTTAATCATACATACACATCATTTTTATCCATTCCTCAGGTGATGGACATCTGGGCTAGTTCCAAGATTTAGCTATTACAAATCGTGCTGCTATAAATATGGCCTGCATGTGTCACTGTGATACGATGACTTTAATTCTTCTGGGAAGATACCCAGAAGAGGAATAGCTGGGTCAAGTTGGGCCTCGAATCCTAGTTTTGTGAGGAATCTCTACACTGATTTCCATAGTGGTTGTACCAGTCTACATGCTCATCAACAATGGAGAAGCTCCTTTGTCTGCACAGCCCCTCCAGCATTTGTTACCAGTAGATGCACATTGATGATAGCCAAAAGGAAAGACAAATTGTAATGGGAAAGGGGGAAATGAAGAAAGGAATACAGGAAAAAATATATGCACATACAACATAGTTCATATTGTTATATATCTAGTTTCTTGTAGTTCATGAAAAAAGTTTTGTGCTAATATTTTATAGACAAGATAGCATGCATGAATCTTCTACTCAGCATAACTACTAGGAAGACAATAATACAGAATGTACCAACTGTTGTATCTGGCTTAATCTGTTTTGGAACTCTAATTCATTGGTTGATTGAAAGGAATGGTTATTTTTAATTGTTTGATTAATTTTGTGTACCTAGATCTGATAATCTGAGCAACTACTTTGAAGATAATGATATGTAATAGAACCATTGTTAATGTTCTGTTGTTGTGTTTCAAAATTCTATATTGTTTTTTGTTTTGTTTACATCTTTATTTTTTTCCTTAAAAATAAAAACATTATAATTTCTTGTTCTATAAAGAAATAATAATGGGCCGGCCAGATAGTTCAGCGATTAAAGCACCTGCTTAGGCAGACACAGGGACCAGGGTTCGATCCCAGTGCCTTGCTCGTCCCACCCCCAGGATACCCTGAGACCATGACTGAGACTGGGCATGGTGGTGCACTCCTGTAATCCCAGCACATGGGAGGCTAAAAATAGGAGGATTGCTATGAGTCTGATCTGTATAGTGAGACCCTGGAGACCCTGTACTAAAATACATTAAGAAATAATAAACCTCAAGGTGCATTTGAGCTTTGAAAACCTAAGCTTCTGTAATGTGGATAACTACTTTTAGTGTTAAAATTCACACTTACTGGGCAGGGGAGCAGGGAGGTGCAGATCGGTGTCCACACCACTGGGAGCTTTTCCTGTGCATCTGCACAGCCGCACTAGCACATGAGGATCTCTCCCCTTACCCACTGGCCCATGGTCCACTGCAGTCAAAGCTCTGGATTATAATGACTTAGCTATGGACATACAAGCCTTCATGGCTAATCTTTCAACCCAATGTGACTGCTAGAGGAGGCTATGAAACTGTTCAGAATGGGCCCAGTAAAGATGAGCACAAGAAAAGTGCAAGTCTTATATGGCAAGGTGGAGGTGGCCCAAGGAAGGCCAGTAGGAAGCAGAAAACATTGAATGGTAACTCAGAATGTCTCTCCCTACAGGGTAGGGGGTTACAACTCAGAGATATACATGCAAAAAATAGTGAAACTGGACTGTAATTGAAAATGAAATGTAAGCTTAGACTTTTTAACTTCTCTCATGAATTCAAGAGCATTCTTCACAGAAGAATATTTCAAATTCATAGGAACATAAATGTGTTTGAGTACTATAATTTATCATGTTTGAAACAACATAAATGAGATTCTAGTCCTCTGGACAAGCAAATGCCAACTTGAGAGATAGAAGATAAAACCATTATTTCCCTGAATTTAAAATTCTGTACAGTCACAGAAATGTCACACCAGACATATCATCTTTCCTTCTAAGAAGTGATTGTGTAGAAGTGACCACTTCATGAGCATCAGCAGTATTCTTGAAGGTACAAATAATCCCCAACAGGGAAATTATGAATGGCTTTCAAGTAAGTGTGGAAGAGGGAAGCTTTTGTGGCTGTGAGTGGGGGAGAGAGAGAGAGAGAAAGAGAAACACACAGACAGACACACAGAGAGACAGACAGAGGGAGGAGAGAGACAGAGAGAGAGACAGACACATGGAGGAGCAAGACAGACACAGAGAGGAAACAGACACAGAGAGAGACACACACAGACAGACATAGGAGGGAGGGAGACAGAAACACAAAGAGAGACAGACACAGAGAGAGAGAG